TTTTGCAATCGCAACATTTAACCCTTTATTAAACCATAGTTATGTGGTTTATGTGCAACAATTTTGTCTAGTCACCACAACTTTTCCGCGGACTTTACCAATCATTGTAGTTTCCCGCAAGTTTCACCAATCATAGCATTCCCCAGATTAGCATTAATTATAGGCTCACTGGAACAAGTTGCCTTCGATTTTTAAAGAATTAAACAAACAAATTGCAACTATTTTTGCCATCTCATTGAAGAAAGAAAATGCATGCAAATATCGCAACATGCAGCACAATTTTAGAACATTTTAGAAAGTCTACCATTAAATGAGCCTTTTCAGATCTGGAGGTGGGCCCCTGGCGCCACACGGTGGCTGCCCACTGCTCCTAGTGCTTAGGATGGGTCAGATGCCTGCAGATGAATTTCTCTACAGGGATTAATAAAGGATAATTTACCATAGTTAAAAAAAATTCTAAAAATATCATAATGTTTAAGAAAAGCTGCCATGACATCAGGCATTTTAGGTCGCAACAGTCCCCAAAAACATCCTGGAGGGATTGATTGATGTGAATAATTGTGGTATAAACTGATTTTATTGTCTTACATATAAACCCAGACAGGGTTTAATGTATTTCAGGTGGCAGACCAGGTTTAGGTACCTTTCTAATTGTAATTCATGTTAAAGTGCATAAAGCTACTTGTTTTGGGGGCCACATCCAGGGCCTCTGTTGCTGTGTACATATTTTGAACGTATTTAGTATACCCTGTTTTGTCCATTTAGGTATAAGTTACAATTCTCCAGTGCATAGTTGTTTTTCTAAACACACACACAAAAATCACATTTCTTTGCTTTGAGCTGAAACCAAACTCCCCTAAAGATCATCCAGGCAGCAGAAACAATATAAATGCAGAGCAGCTTGTAGAAAATGGAGCAATGGAAAAAAACATGGAGGCTGTGTTTGTGTGTCTGCACGCAGGTATCATCTGTCGTAGGGCAGACTGTAGTGTAATTTTCAGCACTTATTCAGATTGTTTTCCAGCTCTTCTTCTGTGGTGTCTGACTCTATTATTTACCCTACCCCTCCATTTGCGATAGAGACTGACGCTTTACTGCTCAGTGTCGGCTCGGCTTTTCGGCCGGGTCACCGAGCAGAAACGAATCCGCCCTTCACACCCTGAAATCTCATCTCACAGAGACGAGAGGAGGTGTGTTAACACTCCTCTGTTTCCATCCACTCTTCTTTTCTCTTCTCCTCCTTTTTCCCTCTGCTGTAACCCACCATATCATCTTCCTCATTCTTGTCTTTTCTACTTCCATCTACTCATCTTTCTTTTCTTTTTCCCTAGCTCCTCTTCCTCCATCTGTGTCTCGTTCTTCTGTCATCTCTTTCTCTTATTTTTCTTCCTCCTTTTCTTTTTCCTCTTTCCCTCACCCTCTTCCTGTTTCTTCTTTTTCCTCCTACATATCTGGTTTTCTTTTTTTTATTTCTCTGTGTCATACTCCTTCTTTCCTTTCCGCCATGTCCTCTCTCTCTTCCTCATCCCTTTTTCTCTTCCTTCATCCCCGCATCATTTCTTTTTCTCCTGTTTTCTTCTTTATCTACCCCTCTTTCTCCTCTTCTCTATATTTTCTTTTCATCCTATCATAAAGTGTGAGAGTGTGTGTGTGTGTGTTTAGCGGAACTTTATTGACATGATGTACAGACAGACAAAAGCCTTTAAAGTCTCTGTGGAGAGTCACAACCTTTGCTCCCCGGGGATAAAATTGGATATCTCTCAGCTTAAGATGAAGGAGAGGAGAGGAAAGAAAGGTAGAGGGGAGGGGGAGTTGTGAGGACAGTTGATGGTGTCAGTTTGGTTTAAGATGATTTGTTTTCAGTTGTATATTTTGTTTAAAGATGAGATCTATCCATAATTACCCCCACTCCCACACACACACAACAGCAACTGAGTAGAAACTCCATCAGCTGTTGGCATGTCTCAGGTTGTATGTATTGATTGATTGATTGATTATTGCTGCTTTCTGCCTTAGGGATTGTTCTCTACAGCTGTATAATTGGCCTAAAAGCAAGAACTACTGTAACACTGCTAATCACACACATTATACACACTCCCCTTTCCCAGTCAGTCTGTACTTCTTCTTGTGGACTTGATTTCATCAATCACAGCCCGAGTGTTGCTATTAAAAACCCTAATTTAGCCAAGTATTGCTGCTACCCGAGAGTGTTGTCGCTCTGCGCACCTCATCGAGGACATTATGGGAGCTGACTTGTTTAAAATTAGGTATAGATGAAGAGCCCATCAGGCATTTCTTATTAACCAGTGGTGATGGCGGATATGAACCAAACCCACAGCTGTCACAATGTCACCAAATTTTTTATGGCAAGTTTTGGTGGGCATTTCAAATATGTTGGGCAATTTATCAAAATAATATCTACTTTCGCAATTTGCTCCAATGTTTTCGGGGATGTGAGGACCCCCTAGCCAGACAAGACTGGCCAGTCAGCATCCATGGTCATCCCAGTGAGAACTGTCATTGTTCTTTTTCTTAGGTCTCTGTAGTATTTAAACATAATTAATTTTATTTTTTGGAAGATAAACTAATCTCTCAAAGTTGAAATCTATTATTTGTTGCTGCTAACTTGGTTTGTTTGGTAAAATTAATGCTCATGTTTTTCATTGGTTTAGGGTAGGGTTAGGGTTAGCATTTGTTTAGGGGTTACTTCTGGCTCATCATATGGATTGCATTTTGTTTCATTGTACATTTCAGCAATGATAACAGTTGTACCAATTTGTTAAAGTGTATATACTGTTGTTCGAGTCACAAATTACAAGTTCTTGCAAGTTTGGACTCTTGAGTAATACTCAGAATTTTGAAAGGCTGACAATTTTCTGTCTCATTAGGCTTTTCAAAGTTCCACTCTCATTGGCTGTATAGCACTGTCAATCACATATGTCAAAGCGTTTCTTAATGATGTCCATGGAAGGAAAAAGACAGGTAAGAAGGAAGAACTTAACAAAGGGAAGATCTGTTCAGTATTGGTGTAAAAAAAACTAGTAGAAACAGGAGAATGTATACCATTTAACAACTGTGTAACACTTCAACAATGTTTTGTCGTTGGTCAGTTTGAATGTCAATCACAAGACCTTCTCTAGTCAGTAGAGCAGACTTGATGTTGTCAGATTAAACTCACTGGGCAGGAGAGTTAGCCCTAACTAAAATTGTTATCGTTGTTTCTAATACTGGAGTTGAATCATATTCTTGCTGAAGAAATATAAAGGAGAGATCAATACTGACATCTTTTAGAACGAGTTTCACACTATCCTGAATATTGAATGTGAACAACAAAATGATTAAATAACGTGAGCAAGCATAAAACAGATTTGCATAGTAATTAAGCAGCACATCAAGATTAGAGATTGTAGTTTTTCATCTTGTTGATGTTTCATTCTTCTATTTTTTTACATCACTGTTTTACGTACATTAAAAAAAATGTATCTTGATCAAAACACAACACAACATTTCTGTTCTGTGACACATTTTTGTTTGGGGACATGATGTTAGGTCAAGAACAATGAAAAATGATTTGTGGTTTAAAGACGTACCCGTGATTCCATCATGTTGATCTGGATATCTTACAGTTTAGGAACAACACTTGTAAATGCAGGTGCAAATAGAGTACTGCAGGGGTGATGTATTTTTGTTGGTCAAACCAGAAGTCAGAATCGCCCTGGTTCTTATGTCAGAAAAACAATGAGATTTTTCCATTTTTGGATTATTGAAGAAAATCTCTGTTGCAAACAAAGGTTTATGGTCCTTAAAAGTTTTGTTCAGCAAACTAAGCTTTACAAATGAACACCGCTGAAATGAAGTGCAAATGCAATCGCCAGAAGCAAAACGCTAACATTCGGATATAAACAAACTACACCACAGTTGCACGACTTCACTATCACCACCACTAATCTTTCAACTTGTAATTAAAATCAATAACTTTGAGGTTCAATGTGCTATAAAGGCAGACTAGTGAGTAAATAAGTCTCGTGACAACTTCTGTAGTCTCATTTAGCCACTAGTTAACAATCTTTTTTTTTAAGACATGTGAAAGCTTCAAAATTCACGGCTGGGGTATTTGCTGACATATTTTATGTCATAGAACAAAACGTTAAATTCTTACAAGCACAGACCTTATTTTAGGCAACTAACCAGAAACCCATTCAAAAAACCCATTGACTTCAAGCAGAGGTAACCGTAGGGGACGAAATGCTAACTCATTTCCGGGTTTTAGGAATCATTCCTGCAACACTTCTATGACATCAGCCAGCTTTGCCCATCTAATTTGCATATTAAGAACCAATCACAAAGTGGGCGTAAAAAAATACAGATTGCTGGCTAATATAGTTTAACTATTCAGGATTTGTAGCCCATGTGGTTCTCATAACCTATTCAGGAATAGCTCACATTCTGCCTCAGGATGGAGAATCGACCAAGTGTTATATGAGTCTATAAAACCCTGTATATCAAATTCTAAAAGGAACAAAATCCTTGTTTCGAATTCCATCTATTTAAAATGCCTGAATCCAACCAAGTGTGAGCTGTCAGTCATTAATTTTTTTAGATTACTGATTGCTGTTTATAATTAAACTCCTCAGATGCTCTGCTGCTTTTTCTTCTTGCCTGTGATCTTCTTTACCACTCTTCTTCCTCCTTTTCTTCCTTCTTGTCTCTTCCACATCGTTTCTGTTGCTTATCTGCTCATCTCATCTGTCATTGGCTCCTTTTGTTTTTCCTTTGCTCCGCCTCCTCTGCTCACCTCCTGCACTTCCCCTTGTCCTCGTGCCTGCTTCTCCTCCCTTCCTCCCTCCTTCCCTCTCCCCTGGATGAACTGTTAACAGAGGCCACGCCCACTCAGTATAGACCCGCCCACACACCTCCTCCTCCTACTCGCCCTCCCCCTGCTCCTCCTGCTCCTTCTGGCACCCCCTTGACTTACTCCTCCTCCTCTGATCCCCCACCAGTGTCCCCCAGCCCAGGCGTTGCCCTCCCCTCTGCCCCCCGCGACCTGGTCCCTGTCCTAGTGTCCAGCCGATTTGTCCGACTCAGCTGGCGTCCCCCGGAGGAGACTGGAGGAGCTGTGCAGACCTACGGCATTTATTACTCCCAGGACGGAGTCGAAAGGTAAGATGGGACTTTTTTCTTCTTCATCTCTGTTTGGTCAGACATGAATTTAGAATCTTTCCTGTAAGGCATTGGTTCTTTATCAGATGGTGTTTGTATTTTTTCTTTTTTCTAGTGAATTACTGTATTTTAATTTTAAGGGTCTCAAAATAATTCAAATAAAATAATCAAAAAGAACCACTCTTTAGTTAAACTGCTCACAGCCCACAGATATGTGCAGCCAGTGACAAGAGGTCTTGTTGTCAATGTTTCCGTAGATAAAAAGCCAAAAAGGTTGACCACGGTTATAGAAACCATAGTGCTGACTTCAGAGAGTTAGATAAACACTTTTTCTTCTCTTTTAAATACACTGGCCCATGCATGTAAAGGAACAATCAGCAATAACATTGTGAGCACTGACAGGT